ATTTTAAGTTTAGCGTCGGAAAAGCCGACGCTATATTTAAATAATAGCGTCGGCTTTTTCGACGCTAAACTTAAAATATTTAATTTAAATTTATTTTAAGTTTAGCGTCGGAAAAGCCGACGCTAAATCTTAAAAAAGTCGACACTATTTTCGTCAGCTATTAGCCGACGCTTATTTTTCGCCGCTTATTCAGCGTTTTCTTGTAGTGTTAGATAAGTTTCTCCATGAAGCACTTCAAGGAGAAAAATCAAAATAAGAAGGAAAACTACATATTATGGTTTATTGTAATATTGTTTTTGATAACTATTTATAAGGAAGAAAGTAAAAAAAAATTCCAAAAGTTAAAATTAGTTTTCATAATCTATTTTATGAAAATTCTCTCATAATTAGCTTTTTCAAAATATGTGCTTCAGGTTATGAAATTAGCTAATTTTTGTTTTAAAAAAATCGTTATTTTTTCTTATTTTCTCTCTTAAAAGTACTTTTGAAAAAATTGAAAAAAACTTATTAAACACATGCACTAAAACTAAAAATAGAAGGTATCAAGACAAAGTTAAAGGCACAATCTATGGTTTATTGCACCAAAAATTAGGTTGTGATCCTTTGATTAGAGTCTTATATATAGAAGAAAAACAAATAAAGTTAGAATCTTAAAAATAGTTAATTAAATTTTCTGACAAAAAATAGTTGTTAATAAAATCAGTAAACATTTCACACTAATTTTTATTTAAAAAAAAAAAAAAAAAAGTTGCCGCAAATTATATGTGGGAAATTATGGAAATCACACATGCACTCTTCAACCATACATAATTATCACGGATTTACAGGAGAATTAAATAAGTAAATTAAATCTTATAAGCTGACGAAAAAAATCAACTAACAAAGAGGAAGCAAATTAAATCCGCATTACATTGCAAGACAAAGCTAGAAAATATATAACATTACACGTGGATTGATAAATAACTGAAATGAACTAATTTTAATTTATAAAAAAACCTTAATTCATCTTATTTTCTTTGAAGATATCAAAAAGTTTATTCAAACAAGATGTTAATATAATTTTATTCTAATGATAATTCATTAATTCAAGTGATGAAGAGCCTTTGTGATATCCTATAATCACCGGGCTGATAAAACCGAAATGGAGACAGTAGCATTAGAAGAACCAACAGAATTGCCTTCTCGATTCACCATATTTGTTTCAACAAACACTGGCATAGTTGGTCGTAGGTACTCCATTAAGCTCTTGCTTTTGAGTAGGACTACTACTTCAGACATTGTTGGTCTTGTAGCAGCAGATGCTTGAGTACACAACAAAGCAATTTCTATGATTTTCTTCATTTCTTCTGCACTATAGTCATTAGGGTCTATCCCCTCATCCACAAGCTCCAACTGCATGCCTCTCTCATATAGTTTCCATGCCTGTAATGTGAAAATGAAATGTCTCATCTCTCATAGTATGGTAAAATGTCATGAGAAAATCAATAAATTCTAGTTATAATAGCAACTTAATTGCTTACTCGTTGAAGAAGGTATTCATGACTATTCTCCTCATTCTTCACATCAGTACTCTTTTGACCACTTATGATTTCTAGAACTACAATACCATAACTATAGGTGTCAGCCTTTTCTGATAATTGACCATGCATTGCATACTCTGGTGCTGTGTATCCCCTGACAAGTGCATGATATTATACCATAGTTAATATAATAACACTCATAACACACATTTTTCCCACATAAGATTTTAATTTTTCTCTTGTGCTACAAGCCTACAACTTTATGCTCAAATAAATGTCAAGAAATTCAAGTAATTGTAATTGTTTTGCCTTACAATGTTCCTGCAAATTTTGTGCTAAGATGAGTACGATCCCCTGGGAGAAGCCTTGCTAAACCAAAATCAGCAATTTTGGGTTGAAGATCATCATCTAGAAGGATATTACCGGTCTTTATATCTCTATGTATGATGGACACATGAAATTCTTCATGTAAATATGCTAGTCCCCTTGCAGTGCCCAAAATTATATCATATCGTTGTTTCCAATTAAGGGAACCTTTGTTACCTGTTTGCAAAATTTATATTACATACTCAAGATGGAGAGTAAAAAATATTTTTAAAAAATTGGTATTTCTATCAAAGGTTGGCATGAGTTACCAAATAAGAATCTGTCAAGACTACTATTTGCCATGTATTCATACACCAAGATTCTCTCTTCCCCTTTACTGCAGCAACCAAGAAGTCTAACAAGATTTCGATGATGAACATTACTTATAAGCTTCACTTCACCTTCAAAGTCATCCTCCATCTTGCTGGATTTTCCCAACACTAGTTTTTTTATGGCAACAATTTTTCCATTTTTCAGAGTACCCTGTTCAATAATTCCCTCTTAGGTTTTTGAAATCATAGGGCCTTTTTATTATTGAAAATTAATTTGTTTTTTATTTTGTATTTTGTTTTAAAATATTTACAAAAATCTTACTTTATTTTAAGTTTATTTCATATTTAATTTTTTTTTATTATTTTAATGTAAATAGGAAATAAAGTAAATTAAGATATTATTTTTGTAATTATTTATAAATATAAAAACTCAAATGAAATAAAAACAAAACTCACATATTAATCATCATTGTCTTCGAAAATGTTTTCTATTGTATTATTGAAAAATACAACATAAATTTACCTTGTATACAGCACCAAAACCTCCTTCTCCAAGTTTATTTTCAGCACTAAAATTTTTTGTTGCAGCTTTCAAATCACTATACTTGTAGTTAACCGGACCTTTCAACTCTGTTGCTCCCAGTATGTCACCTGCTAAGGAACACACCAGTTTTGACTTTGTAATAAATAAATGAGAGATGACTTTAAGATTAAATTAGATTGAATTTGCTACTAAACTAATTTATAATAGAAAACAACATATTAATTAAAAGGGCTTTTGAAAATCAATTATTATCTATAAAATAATTAAAACCAACCATCATAGAAATTAGGAAATAAAATAAAGAAATAGATGACAGAGTTAATAGTGTGTGTTTGGTAACAATCTAATGTCACTCGATGGGATCTGTAGAAATAACTATCAATTGTTTTTCTATCAAAATTAATATGATTCGCCTGGATATATATATATGTGTGTATATCCAAACATACTTTTGTTAGATAAAAACAAAAAACTGTAGATGTTGAAGAACAATTTAAACAAATATTTTTCTTACTACTTATCATTATATTTGTTTTTTCGATTTGAAAAGCATTAACCATGAGCCATTTAATACCAAGAATTGCATTGAAGATTTTAATATATATCCATATTTACTTACCTCTGTGAACCTTCTTTGTTTTTCTAGACCATTGACAGGCAAACAACACAAGGAGGAGAACAACACCTCCAACAACACCACCAATAATAGCCCACTTCTTGCTTGAACCTCCTGCAACACAGTAAACAAATTGACATCAGATCTAAACCAAGGTCTGCAGATTGGCATAAAAAAAAATTAAAAACATGTTTTTCTTTTTTATCAGCTACTGCTACTTTATTTTAATTCTAAATTTATATTAAAGATTGATAAAAGCAATAAAAAGGTCTAAAATCTTTAAAATTACAAACAATCTATATTTTTTTTTTATATTTAATGTATTTATTTGTACGTCCATGCAAATATGATAATTTTCAGTTTAATCTTTCAAGTGTTTTTCTTTTGTTAGTTTTAATTTTTATAAATTAAAAAATATTCTTATTACCGATGGGGTGACATGCATATAATTAAACATTCATGTCATAATCAAAGAGATCTACTACAATTTGTTGAGCAAATATATGAGTTGCTCTTGGTACTCATCAGTTCAATTATGATAGAAAAATATCATGTCATATGGCATATAAGAGTAATGGTAGACTTGATACACGTAGATGTATGCTACATCATATTAAAAAATGTGTAAAAAATAAATTTTTGCACTGTTCAACATTATTTTTTTTATAAAAGAACTAAAATTAAAAATTGCAATATTTACAGAATCTAAAAACTTATTATAACCATATTATATATAGTTATAAAACCGTGTTTTATATAATTATAATATAAAATGCTTTAAAAACTTCATAAATTATAACTCTCTTTTTTCTTCTTCTAAATATACATCAACTAGAGGGGATCATTATTGCAATGGTACCTTGTTTTAAATAGGGTCCAATGTCAATGGTTTGATTATCAGCAAAGAAGGGTGTTTCAGAGTATCTCATAAAACAGCCAGCATCATATGCTGTACCATCTGTGTTGGGAAGGCAACTTTGTAAGTTTTTGTATGCGACTTGCATACAATTCAGACAGTTAATCTCAGTGGCAGTTTCAACACACTGTGCAATGGCATAAAATGCACTGCCACCAGCCACCTTTGACTTAGTAGCTGCATAAAACCCTTTGGTTTTTGGTGTTGCAGTTTGGAGATCCGTTAGCACTTTTTGCCCAACTGTCCTAAAATCAACAGTGGCATTTGAAGTCTTGTTCCCACATGTTACCCCACTGCCAAGTTCATTGGTCTGTTGGTAGAACCTCTCGCTCTCGTACCTTGTCACATTTTCAGAATATCCAACATCAAAATATTCAAAGATAAGTACACATGACAATTAATAATTAACTTTTGTTAATAAAAAAATCAAATAAATATGAACACACATGTACCGTTTTCAATAACCACTGAACAACTAGAATCAATAAAATAATAAGAGTTTGAGTAATATGTATAAAATTTTAATTAATTTCAAATTTTATTACTTTTATTGTAATTTTGACCTATGAAAAAAAGTGCCGGTGAAAATTGCATAACAGCTCAACAGTAATACACAAGAAATGCTCAATAACAGCTATTTAAGATATTGAAATATCTTGACAGCTTATGTGAGCTTGTTCGCGTTGATCTTTTGAATTATAATAGGCACAATAGATAATACCTTATCTTTTATGATTCTATTCTTCATTCGACCCATTCGATGATATGGCTACGTGCTTAATTTATTCAGATAATTAATAATTGTTAAAATAAATGGGATGACAAATATAATATTTTTTTACGGATTAAAATCATGTTTATTCCACCTGATATATTCTTTTGGATTTCATATCTCTAAAATAAAATAAAAAGAAATGAAAGTGTGTTTACTCTTCATTTTTTTTTATAGGATATTTACCATTATATATGTTTGATTTAGTTTGTTTTGTAATTTTTTTATGTTGTAATTAGAAAACCCTTCATGTTCACTAACGTGTGTTGATTCTTCGTGCCCAATACTCCATACTCCAAATAACCACTTTATTTCATTTTTTTTATAAATAAATTCTTCACAATTGTTTTCTTAATGTTCTACATAATTTTTCCATTCACAAAAAGAAAAAAAATATCTTATATAAAAACTTACCAATACTGATGACCTAATTATAATAAATCAACATCATACTTAAATTTTTTTACCGTCTATACAGGACTATATAACCAAAATCAACATTCTCTCTAGATAGGATAAAAAAATAAAATCAGCAACCTAATTTCTAAAAAAAAAAACTAGATAATATATAAAACTTCTATAAAAGTTAAGTGAATGAACATAAACATGCATACCTGAGGAAGCAGTCATTGTAGATGACTCTAGCACCGTTGGCTCTGGAACAGTTGCGGATTTGGGTGGTGGCAGTGTTGAAGCAAGAAAGACAGTCATTTTTGGAGAGATAGTTTCTGCATTGAAACATGGTATACGTGAGAACCCCTCCTCTTGATTTCTGCGATGTGCCAAAGTGCTTGCTCTGGTTTCTAATTTCTCCTCTCATGTCTGAAAATGTTTCATTCACGTTCGCAAAGAAGCTTCGCGCGTTCGAAGCGTTGAATGGGCTGCACCCTGTGTTTATCAGACGCCTCTGTTGGCCTGCAACTGTTGCATGCTCGACGCCACTGCTCCACCATATCAGAATTAATGCCACCACCTTAAGTTGCAGCATTGTTTTAGCTGTGTTTCGTCTGAGAGACAAGTGTTTGATGGTGTAAAACGGGAAATGAGATGTGCCTTATATATAGAAAACAAAATGTTAACGTTTGGAGTGCATGGTGAAAGAAAAAGATAAAGATAAAATCATATATTAAAAAGAAAAAAAAGAAAAAAAAAGGGAAGAGAAACTACTCTTACATATGTAGATCATGCAATAACTCAATATTATAAAATTATCTTTTTAAGTTGAGAATTATTTTGTAGCTTATATATATTTTATTTTTATCATATTAATATGTTAGTGGTTAAAATTATAGACTTAATAACAACTATTATAATATACTTTTATATTATTTTAGAAATTGAATTTAAATCTACAACATTATTAACTTCTAAAGTGGATTTAATCGCATAATTAATTATGTGAGATCTCTAATAATTAATAATTATGATAATTGATAGAAAAAAAATAGCAGTGAGATAGGAAAATATAAACATTAAAATTAATAGAGATTATCTAACTTAATAATTTAAATTAAAAATAAGATTAAATAACACAATTGTAAATTATAGGTGTAATTTTTTCTTATTATTGAGAAAAAAATTGGTGTAATTTTTATGTACTTAAAATGCTTGATATAATTTTTAATTGCAATAATAATTTATAATTGGATTATATAATCCATTGTTTGTTTTTACTTAGAATGAGTTTGAAACCTAGAATATATAATAACCCTATAAATTAGACACTTAAGAAAAAGAGGCGAAGAGTACGGTTTAGGGCGATGTTTTTGTCGTTTTATAGACCATAAGGAGGAGGATGGAGTCTATTTTTCTACCTACGTTGAAAAGAATTTACATCTGAGTTCTGATGTAGAACTTACGATGACATTGCGTGGACCATTTAATAAGCAATGACTCCATAAATTAAGCCTAATCAACATCCATAAAGGTTCTTAGAAGCGTTTACTTTATAATAAGCCAATATTTTCCTATATGATGTGTACATAAAATAAAACTACTCGCCACTCTCCTCTCATACTGATATTTGTGCATAAAATATGCTACACCATTTTTATGTCACTTCCTTTCAAATGACATATTAAATAAATACATTTTAATTAATCAATTATAAGATATTATTTAAATAGGAAAATAATTTTAATCAAATAATTTTCAAATGAAAAATTCTATAAGTTGAAAACTTTGGATGAGGATGAAATGAAAAAGGAAATAGTATATTAATCTTGATTTATTTTTAAAACTGAAGATAATGCAAGAAGTGTATACAAAAATAAACTTATATTCCACTAAAAGTATTGCATCATATCAAAATATTATATTCTTTTTTCAAGTGCATGCCTCTAAAATATTTTTCATAACTATTTGTTATTATTGAAAAATAGTTTTTTCAAAGTTGAAATTAGTCAAATCTTATACAAAATTATTTATGTCAAAGAAATATTTAATTATATAAAACTTTGATAAATAATTTCGTAGTTAACAAGAAAAATAAAAATAAAGATGACAATTGACAGATTCTATTAAATTAAGATCAGTATGTAAATTTCGCTTTAAGTATTATAGCTCTAGCTAGGCACAGCACTGATTAACAGTTTAACTTTTTAAAACAAAGTATATTAACGAAAGCAATCTTTAAATACTTGATAATTTTTGTTGTTAGTACATAACAATTATATAGTGACTAATTTAGTTTGATCTCCAACACAGTATCAATAAAAATAGGCGGCTATAACCTGTTTAAGATTTGACTCACTATAAACTAATTAACATTGTTGAATAAAAAAGTAAGGGGAACTATACAAGAAAAAAGCCATTTAATAACGTCAGACTTTTGGTGCTTTAAAAAGTTTCAATTTATTTTTTAAGGCAAATAGAATATTTATTCATAATATGAGAGCCAGCTCCCAGGCCATCAGCAAAACATTTACTTGCTTTGTGAGCTGATCTGTTTATGATATCCACTAGTTTTAAGAGTAACATATAGATGACAAGCTTTCTAGCTTTGTAATCATCTTAGTAGTACATGTATGGTTGCACATCATTGTTGGTCAATAATTTTATCTTTGAAGTATATAATTAAGAGTTCGATTTTTACATTGATAAAAAAATATATTTATTAAAGAGCTTAACTTTTAACTAAGCAATACCTAATTCATAAATTAATCCTTAATTTTTAACCAAACAATACCTAATTCATAAAAAAAAAAGTATTATTAGAAAGTTGGTTAATTTAGTTGATACATTTTTCTTAATTAAACTTATATTTTTTTTCTACACTATTCCTAATTAATATTAATGAGACTTTTATTCTATCAACTACTCGTTGAATTAAGAGAAATTTATCCATTAAGTATATTTTATAAAAAATAATATACAAAACACATTAGATAAGTTGTTATAAATATGAAACAAAACAACATTATAAATATACCAGAAGGAGTATGATATATATAATAAGAACATCAGTTTAGCGACAGCATGACCGTTGCTAATTATTTGTCGCTATTTGCTGTTTTGTTGCAGTTGAGAAAAAGGAAAATAATAACAAGTTCATTATATAAATCATTTTCATCTATCTGTGACGCATATTAATTTTTTTTTTAGAAAATAAAATCGTTTATATATGGTGTATATATCACCCAATATGTTAAAACAAATGGTGTATGACCCAAACCCACAAATTGATCTCTTGTATATGTATTCTTGGTTGGATGAATTAAGCAAAGAATATAATTTATCGTTGTCCTTGGTACGTGCCGGCGGCGCCGGGGGTCATACTTTGGACAAATTTAGAATAAGATGCAATGTGTTAAATATAATTTTGGATAATTAAATTGTGATATTTTGTTTAAAAAACACAAGCCAGCCAAGGTACAAAGTCAATACTGTATTATTTATATTCTCTTTGCATGCAATAATTTAGGTTATGTGCAAATTAAATTACTATGCAAATATCTGGATCGATTAATTTGGTTGAAACAGCCTAAGCCACGTTATGGACAGAAAGTAGAAACTGCCTCCAGGATATATGCATGGCCTCTATTATACTTTAGTTTAAAGTATTATGTTAGCAACCTACACCAAAATTTTAGGACAAAAAAACACTCATTTCTTTTATTTGGTTAATTCGTAGAAAGGATATTATAGTAATTTAATTTAATTTTAAATAAAAATAAAATATTTTCTCTCTCTTATTAATTTCATTCTCCAATTCATTTATTTTTTTTATTAATTAATTTTTATTTGTTTAGAGAGAGAGGGGGGAGACATCATGAGAGATGAGAGAGAAATGAGTTAAAAAAAATTTAATAGGAGAGAGATAAATAAGTTAGAGAAAGAATTTAATAGGAAAGATAAATGAGTTGGAAAAAGAATTTAATAGGAGAGATAAATGACTTAGATAATGAAATTAATAAGAGAAAAAAAATATTTTATTTTCATTTAAAATTAAATTAAATTACTATAATATTCTTTATACAAATTAACCAAATCAAAAGAAATGAGTGATTTTTTTGTCTTAAAATTTTGGTATAGGTTGCTAATACACTCTCACTAAAAAATAGGTGGGAGTATATTAGCATTCCCCATATATATATATCAAACTTAAATGACCATCTTATATAAGAATGTTTTTAAAGATCATTTTTAAGTGAGAGAGTTTGTACAGATTCTTTTATTCTCTTATCTATTTCAATTTCTTTTATTTATTTATCATATTTATTTATGAATTAAATCAACCTTAAATCTTTAAATATTAAATACGAACAACTGTATTTTTAGGAGTTATTTTTATATTTTTTTAAACTTCTTATATAATTCAATTTTTTTATTTGTCACATTTATTAATAAATTAAATTTTAATATTTTAAAATAAATTATCAATAATTAAAAATAATCTTGTATCACAATATAAATTATTTATCTTATATTTAAATTATAATCTATAAATTTAAAAATATTTATTTATATAAATTTTAAATATAATTTAT